TTGAATTCAAATAACATATCATATTATATGGTAATTTTTTCTTTTGTAGAGACACTCTATTTGCACTGTAGACAGCCATGTTTTCACATTTCGCTGAAAACTTGTGTTTGAGGTTACTTGATATACAGAACCCAGAAATACTATCCGTTATGTTCTGGCAAGTGGCTTATGGTAGTTACGAGAATGCATCAATGAGTGGTGCAAAAGGTAAGCATGAACTTTGCATGAAGACGTCATTGACCTACATAATAGTATTAAGCATATCAGATAATTTCACTGTGCAAAATTATCCGAGATTTTGAGAACATGTACTATTGGAAACTTTTTTACAGCGCAATGAGGGTAGCGCTACAGTAAGGCGCTTCGTCGAATTCAACGTGCCCGCGAACATTTACAAGTTATTATAGACATCTATACAGTAAGGAAACTGAGGTAGATGATGGCACCTGTGTTCTTCCTAAACGCATTAAGGTAGAAACACCGTTTTCTGATTTTTCCTTTTGTGGCAAAGAAAAAGGCTTCTCTTAAGTTGAGGCGTCATTCTCTAGGCTTACCAAAACAACGTTTGTTCTTGGATGATTGCCACCAAAACTCGAGAAGTTTCCGTAGCTTTCTCTTTGGGCCTATCTATCGCTTCCACATTATGATACAGGAAGGAAAGTTAATCACAAAATCCGTTGCCTACACTCAGCCTTTGAAGAGAGGAATGGAATGCTGTGTAAGTTTCGTGCTGATTCAACTCATTGCGCATATATAAGCGTCTGGCGCATGAGACTACCGCGTTTTTTTACAAATATTTTTCATTAACCAATGCAAGTAATAGTTTTTTCTAAAAATAGGTCTCCGTTAAACGGTTCCACGCATCCTAAAATGCCGTCAATGTACTACATTGTATTACAAGCAGTGATACCAGGAGTGCGCTATCAAGCATAGCACCAGAATTAGCTCCGAGAGTCATGAGTGTATAATATGTTATGAATCAGCATTGAACAAACGCCGATTCTGCCGTAGAGCGTTAAGATATTTGTTGAGCGCTCATAAAAATTCATTTTTTGGAGCCACACAATTTAAGCAATAATTACTCAATCATACCTCCTCGATTTTTTCTTTCAACTTGTCATCATCCTGGTGTTTGCCTGTAATAATCAAAATCAGCATTCTTCTGTGATCGGGTGCATCCTCCTAGAAGATTATTCTAGCGTATTTCGAAAAAACTAATCAACTTTTTCTTACTCTTACATAATAGCCTTGCGTAGAGCTGAGAGCTTTAAATAAATTATAATTCTTTCCAACATTATATGTTTTAAGTTCGGCTATTCTCGCTCTCCTATAAACAGTTTTCTTGAACTCATCGTACTGAATTTGGCAGTGACAAACAAACCAAAATTCGTAATTACGCCCTCTTCCAGGAGAATATTTTGCTGATCTGATAAATACTTCAGGTTGACCGTAAGCAACTAAGGTAACCGTAGCAGTAGTCATCACAAATGGAAATAGCACAGCTGTCGCAATTCCGGCAGCCTAAATATAGACACGATTAAGCTTCTTTACCATGGTCCCATAATTAATTTCCAACTTACGTCGTCAACCCCTATTCCGCCCGAGAGGTCAACCACTATAACAACTGCGTGATATGCGTCCATCTCGCAATCTACACACAAAGTTCCCTACAAAAGACGCAAATGTGGTTTGCCCCCGCGATGCAAGAACAACAAATTTGTGGTAAAAAGACCAGACAGATGTTACGTAAACATCTAAAAACTTCACATCTATGTTCTTTTTGTACAAATTCAGATTATTAGTTTGACACTAGAAGTAGATTGATTAATTATGTAGTTTT